GGAGGCTTTCCGTGTCTCTTCCGAGAGTCAGAGCAGAAGAGATTGTTTCCAACCCTCTGCCTCAGAGCAGAGAGATCACAGTCTGTTCTTCAGTGAGTTCTCCAGGCCACAGTATCTCTGTTTCTGTCTGTGCTGCTATAAACTGCAGCATCCTGGGTTGTGCACCCCTCAGCAAGGCTCCCAGTCCTCGCCTCCAGGTCAGGGCACGTCTTTGTCCTTTGTGCTTTTATAACCACCAGCCACCCCCAGTTCACACATGTGGCCCCGCCACTCCAGGTTTCAGTCCGGGGGGGCTGCCCTAAAGTCTTTTCCCCACTGCTACTGGTCTGTGAGTCTGTGCCCTGTGTCCCCAACGTGGGAGGGTTTTACGCTCCTATGTTATTTCACCTTCCTGGCGCCAGCACTTATGGTAGCTCTCTTCCCCTTCTGTTTATCTTCAGATACGTGCCTGCAGAATCACGGCTCCCTGTTTCATACCTCGGAACCAACCGCCTGTGATTTTCTGTTTGTAGAGATCCAGATCTCTCTTCTTACATCTCAGGCTGATTTCATGGGTGTTCAGAGTGGTCTGGTAGATATCTAGCTCAATTCCGGGGACCAGGTGGAATAGTTCCACTACTCCTCCACCATCTTTTCTCCTATCTTTTGTAAATATCTTTACCTGTAGCCAGTGCTGCTTCACAGACAAATAGAAGAAGTTAGAAGGACTCTATGGTGTGTGCAAACTATTGGGGAAAATGATGGAGACTCTTTTAATTGTTTAAGACAGAAACATATTTTTCTTTAAGTTAAAACTTCATGCTCTTTTAGCTGATAACACTGTAAAAATTTCTTGTGGAAACTCCTATCCACAACCAAATATTTATCCATAAGATGTTTATCTACTAGCAGAAGTGGTAGAATGATATTCTAAGCAGACAAGAGTTTTAAAAATCTTCTTTACCTGCCTATCACAATGAAGAGCCAAGTCACAAGAACCAAGGGGCCTCTGACTTTTGCAGAGAGGAACAGAGCTTCACAAGATAGTAATAAAGACATAGAACTTTGAACAGCCTTAAAAAACTTCTCACACAGAATAAATATTAAATTTGTCATTTAGAGTATGTTTAGAGTATATTATGTTGTAATTCATAATATACAGAAACAAAAATGCAAGGCAATATATTCAAAATAAGAGTCCTTCCATTTTTTTCCCAACACAGACATTGATATTTAAAATTTTTTAAAGGCTACAGAGAAATATAAGTAGCCTCAAGAGGAGTAAATATTCTTCTATTGTGTGTATGTACATGTGTGTGAGAAAGTAATTCAAATTCACTAGTATATGGGGTGAGTGGTTTATAGACTAACCCAGAAATATAAACTATGAGGGAAAAAAAATGCAATGAAACAGCTTAACTGCTGAGTGCCAAACAAACAAACAAACAAACAAACAAAAAACAAACCTTCAAAGCAACAATATGAGGAAAACTGAGGAGGACTAAAAGGGTCTTTTTACTCCATTGTTGGTAAATTTGTCCTCTGCAGCCCTCCACGGAGTTAGATGGGGAGAAGGTCTGGAAGCTTCCTAGCTAATTTGAATGCTCTAAGTAGTCAGTCCACATAATTCATGTCCAACTATGGATAATTTTTTGGCTTAATGTTCCAATTTGGATTGTAATACAGGACAAATGACCTGGCCTTGCAAATATCTACTTTAGTATGTGATACACAGCCAGAGTTTTGGAAAAAAAATGACAGTATTTCTAGATGAAAAATTAAATTAGGGGAGTAATAAAATATTAATATAAAGCTAACTATTTCAAGTTGTAAACCAGGCATATACTCAAAGCCACGTTGGGAATAATGGCATAAAATACAAAATAGAGATGATAATAAAAGGAGGCTTTTTTTTCTTTCAGATGCTGTAATAGTGGAAAAGGCACTCTGTTTTAATAGCTTTCCTAGAATAATTCATTTTACATGGTAGTCTTGATTTTAGAGTTATATATTTCCATAGTGTACTTTCAAATAAGAAGTAGAAACTGAAAATTAATAGAGTATCAGGAATATTAGTATACATGGCTGCCTAGGGAATAAAATGTATAGTAAAGCAAAGACTAAGACAAGAGCATATGCAAAAAAAAAGAGAACTCATACTTTCGAGGCTCTCACACTAATGAAGATCTCAGATGTGAATTAATGATTAGGAACTTAAATTACAAAATCAATGTATCACTGAAAACTTATTTTAATTAGCTTTTGCTACTGTTTGTGTACTTTTCCTCTAGCTATCATGATAACATGATTTGATTTTTTCTTAGATTACAGACTACTGAATATATCTAATTTCCCTTTAAAAATACTCAATGGTTGACCATCAAAAAAAGTATTTTAACTACAAATTACAAACTTCAAGCACAGTAAGTAATGTAATTATCCTCATTCGTCCACCATTATTTATGACATGATGTTGGTTTCCTTAAGTATAATTATGCTACTCTAAAGATATAAAATTCTAAAATAACACAACTAATAGTAAGGATGCCTAAATTAACTAAACTGATTTTTCTTCAAAGACTATATGTAAATAAGCATTTTAAATATGTAAGCCGATTTCCCATTGACTTACACACTTAATAAATGGGAGAAGTGATCCTAAGGAAAAGAAATTACCAAAAAAAACCCCAAACAAATGAATTTGATCACCATAAATTCTCAAACTTTTTGAAACATAACCCATCATTTTTGTTGGTCATATTTTCTATTTCATAGTTTGTATATTGTTACTGCCTCTAACAATAAACCACTAAGCTTGTATAATATGGCAAGGCTTCTGCCCTTCTCTCTGGCTGCCACTCTTAGTAGGCTCCAACTAAAGGTGGGCCAGCATAGGTGTTACCAATGAGATGGTCCCAGTATAGGCTCTAGTCCTATGCTACTAGTCATTTTGACCATCACGGCACACGGGTGACCAGATAGCTATGCCACTCAGAGCTTGCGTAATGCGTGATACGTTTATTTTCAATTTCATGTAGTTGGTAATTAGTATATGTTTGAATAATAAATGATGAAGGATGTCAGAAGTAGAGTAGCTAGTAGCAAAAGAAAGCACACCAAGTGATAACAAACTAAAATATTCAGAACTAGTATTCCTCATTTTCCCATGAAGCTCTATTGCTTCTTGTCAAGGCTTATCTCTCATATAGACAAAAACACTAAGTTCCTCATGTCATGATGTTTAAAGGGCAGTTTCCCTCATAAAACTTTTCTCAAAGTTTTCCAGGGAAGGGACTAACATTTCCCACCTGCCCTGAAATTTCCACCATTAAAGGAATTCTTTTGGTTTAGGTAAGAAAGCTGGTGCTGTGCATATGGGGGATGGGCGATATATCCCATTAATGAAATGATATGAATTAATTTATCAGATTAGCCAATTAATACTGTAGAGGAATTGACAGCTGGGATGGGGGCAGTGCTAGACGCTGAAGGCAAATGTCTATTTTAGTTTTTATATCTTAATGTTATTCAGGGTGAAAGGGACAAAGATGTCCAGAGCAACATTTAAAATGTTGGTATCAAATGTACTATTTATGCATAAAGTGATCTGTGGTAGATTTATGTTTGGTATTACTAATAGTTTCACCATGCTCAGAAGCAAAGATATTATTAAAAAAAAAGGATTTCCCCATGCACCTTGCTATGGAAACTCATTAAAAGTTCCAAAAAACCATAATTACTGCCTGAACAATTTCATCATATTCTCAACTGGCTCTGAAGGTAGGAGCAATGAACCTAATCTACATCCTACTGTCCAAGGGAAATCCTTGATCAGTTATAATTATTAAAAAAAATTTTTTGCGGGCGCCTGGGTGGCTCAGTTGGTTAGGCGACTGCCTTCGGCTCAGGTCATGATCCTGGAGTCCCGGGATCAAGTCCCATATCGGACTCCCTGCTCGGCAGGGAGTCTGCTTCTCCCTCTGACCCTCTTCCCTCTCATGCTCTCTATCTCTCATTCTCTCTCTCTCTCTCAAATAAATAAATAAAATCTTAAAAAAAATTTTTGCAAGCATATACAAAAAGTTTTTCTAATTATTATATAATAATTATATTACATATAACTTAATATATAATTTGCTATATTTATATTTATTACCTATAATTTAATATACAGTTATTATATATTATTGACATAGAAATGATTTGTATCATTTTATGAAACCATAACTTGACTGTAATCTGCTTTTAAGATAATTATTTTTCACAGAAAATAGGGATGCCTATCATTAGAGAACAAAGCTGAAGGAATTTCACAAATTCATTTCATATGAGGGAAAAGAGTCATCATAATGTATTAAGTTTTAAACAAATGTTTCAGAACTACTTTCCGTTTGGTTTATGACAAGTTTTTTTTTAAACTTTATGTGAGTTTACTAATTTATAAGATATATTTGTATTCTAAATAATTGCAAACAGAAAACCTTGGGTAAGGCAAGTCCCAGCACTAATCCATGATTCATTATCAAAACTTTAATTGGCACAACTCTTGAAACTCTGGGACCATATGGAAAATAATGAGTCCTAATAGGTCTAAGGTGGAGGGATGGTAGGGGAGTGAGGAAGCCAGAAAACCGTCAATTCAGAATGCTTAGCCACTGCAGCACAATCTCCCCAGAGAGCTAGAACAATGTGTTCTCAATGTTTTACTGGTTTCTCCATCATATAACTAAACCGCATGTTATTTCTCTCATTCTGTGAGACAAAAGTTAAAATGAGAAAACAAAAACAACCCCAAAACTGGTTTCCATAATTAAAAATGAAACTGGCTGACTGTTAATAAAAAAGGCAGCAATTTAGAGTTACCATAACAACCCGAGGCAACTGTTGACTGACACTGCAATCTGCCACCTTTTTATAAATAGCAGTTGATTCCCCCTCTTTCATTTCAGCCGGTTTTAGTGCTCAACGGAGCTAATGGAACAACTGTGCTTTAGAACGACTTCACTCATCAAGCAGTATACCTCTTCGCTGCTGTCACTGCCGTAAAAATCATCCTCTGATTCGGTGTCTCTCCTTGTCACACTGGCATCCTCTTTTAGATCCAAAATAAATGGGCACCCCTCTGGGGACATGTTCTGAGTTTTTCCATGAGGTGCTGATCGTGGTCTTGATGAAAAAGTGAAAATGTCCTTTGGAACAACCTGGGTTTCCTCTGCCAGTTTGCCATGTTCACTCTCCTTGCTGGCTTCCAGCCACAGATGTGAAGCGTGGCAGGAATCATCATCCAGAAGGAGAGACTGTCTGCTGGATGCCAAATGGGAAATGCGATCAACATTTTCAGGAAATATCCACTCATCTGACATTTGGGAAAGATGACAAAAATTAGAGGAGTGTTCCATGAGTGTTATATTAAGGCAGGTAGTTATGTTAAAATTTCTTGGGTTGAAACAGAGATTTATCAAATAATGCAGAAGCCAAGGAATGCAATTTATCCACCATCTTGTAACCTGCTAAACATTTAACCCATAGATCAGTGCCTATAGTTACAGGCAACTCATTTGCACTTCCTCTCCATCTGATTTGAAACACTGGCCAGGAAATTTATAAGTCTGAAATAATTATCACCTGTCTTGCAGCAAGTTCTTCATAGCACAAACTCATTAATTTGACATTCCAGGAGGGAAGAAATCTTCCAAATTTAAAAGGGTTTGAGTTACTAATATCTTCTTTTAACTGCAGGACAGACTATTTAACGTTTCTTTAAATAAAATAACTGGGTATTGTTTGGATTACAAATCATGGAGGAGAGGAAACCATGAAAAGGTTAACAGGCTTTTCCTTTCCATTCTACTGACTGAAACAGGACAATTCATAGACTAAACTGAGTAGACTTTTCCAGTAACAGTAAATCCACAGAAACACTTGTTAATGTGATTGGTGAAAAAGATCTTTAATTATAGGAGAGAATGTTTTGATACATTTTGATACATTCTGCACAACATTATTTGTTTTAAAAATACTGTATACTACCACTAGGATACATTTTAATCAAAACTTTAAAAAATTTTGAACTTTAAAATAACTTAAAAATTTTTTTGAAATTTAGTTGACACACAATGTTATGTTAGTTTCAGTTGTACAACATAGTGAAAAGATTTTAATCTTTTATGTAACATTGAGATAGATTTTTGTAACTATGATCCAGGCAAACTGACACAGACAAATATTTATAATGAATGTCATTAAAAGCATGCTTACTTTCTTCTTTAGAATGACAGCAGGAAGAAGCTGCATTTTTCTCAACTCAGTCTATTTTCCTTAAAATTTACTTTTTTTGCTGCATTATGTCAATGGTGAAAATCTTAACAAAAATCTGTGTTCAGCAGAACCAAAATGTGGACATGGTAATTTTACCCCGACTCTTGAATCCTGCTATATCTATCCTCACAAGAAAAGTAATCAAGAGATATCTAAGATTTGCTGACTTGAAACTCTAAAGCCTATACAGTACAAAAGCAACAAACAAAAAGACCTTTAATAAAAATAACATTAATGGCACAAATAAAATCATATTCATCATAATGTATTCATTTCTTAAGGCTATCATTATATAATATAACTTGCTTGTGAAAAGGGTAACAAATATACATTTCTTAGAGAAAATCTGTAACTTGCACATTTTCTGTAAGTAAGTGGCCCACAGCAGGCTGAATCTACTTCATTGGACCACATTTATAAGGGGATGTGGAGGGTCTGGAGTCAGTGTACCGTGAGCGGGTGAAATAAACAGATTCACTGGGCTGTCCTCTTGGACAGCAAATCCTTTTGCATGGTGTTAAGCACATAGCAGATATTTTGTAAACACAGTAGATGCTTTATTAAAAAATAAATGTTGAAAAAGATCATAAAAACCAATGGGCTGCATTAAGTACATTGATAGTAAAGAAAACTGGAGGAAAAGATACTGGGAATCTTCATTATGCAATTCAAAAACTTGCATGACCTATTGCCAAACATATTATTAACTGTCAAAAAGTCAAAGTAAAAGGAGTGTTTCTACACCAAACGAACTCTAATTATCTCACCACCACATGCTTTTTTGGAATTCGTAGTTTTACCTCAAGTATTTCCATATCAATTGTAATGAATAATTTGGTGTGTTTTCTTAGGAAAATATGTAAATTACTGTGTAATCACAATATTGCAGCAAACAAGATAAATGCAAGAATGATCACCTAAACATCTAATTAGTTTTTCTACACAGTCAGATTTATGCTAGAGACACTAATTGCGCCTAACATTTTAATGAAGGTTTCAACATTGCATAAATAAGACTGACAAACTACAAACAATTTTCATTTATTTTCCTTTTTCCCTTGCTCAAAAACAATTCGCCTTTGTAAAAGTACCACACACCTGCTAGGAAAGATATGTTGATGGGCTCAATGCTCTACACTCCAACCATCTCCATTATAAAGAGGACTGGAGACTTGCAACAATAGGTAATCTTTGGGGACAGTGACAATGCCCTGTGAAAACTTCAAAGTTTCAAACTTTCCTTCTGAACAGGATAACTGGTGCATTGAAACTTGGAAATAAAAATGTCTTTTCATCCATTAAAGTCTGACATGCAATTGGGGTTAAGAGGAGATTTATCAAAAAATGACAGATTTTAGCAAATGACAGCATCACAACTTCTCAAAATGACTGGGTTAAACATACTGATATTTCATCAATTATTAACAATTACAGTGGACTAAAGATGCCAACCTGCTTGATCAGGAGACTGCAGTGCTGGAGAGCTGGGGTTCATCTCTGTGCTTTGTTGGGACCCACTGTTGAGGGCAACTCTTGCTTTATCTTCATTCCTGTTATTTCCTGAAGAACTGCCTTTATTGGAATAAATATTTTCCACAATGTTATTTCTTTTGATTTTTATAAAAGTTCATTTTGAAGAATGCTATTAATGCAGTGTGCTTTTCTACATGATTATTGAAAAGCACAGTAGAGGTGACGATACAGATTATCTGCAGTTCTTTTCTCTTCCACTAGAATTTTTCAAAGATGAACTCAGCTGCATTTTTGTAGAGGTTCATCTTTAAATTCCTTGATATTTGCATGGGGACATTTTAGATTTAAGTTTTACAATATGCAATAAAAGGAATTCCAAAACCCATATTATATTTAAAGGGTCCTATATTTTTCCCTTTGGTTGCACATAAAATGGGAGTGTGTTTTCTTTAAATTACAATTCTTACACAACCTGACTTAAAATTTTAAACCAAGCACTTTCCTTCAGCATCTTAAGAAAATGGACACAGAATTAACCTTTCTATCTACTATTTTATAAAAATAACATGAATCCTAACAAGCTGAATTTCAGCCTACCTAAGAACTCCTCATTTTTGAGAAATTATGCTAACAGATGTGTACATGATATACTCTGGGCTTGACTCAGGATATATGAATGCATGTGCAGACAAATCTATACTTAAATGCCTCAAATCCAATATTCAAAGGGATAACTATAATAGCCACCTATATTTATCTAAGGCTTTATTGGTTGCAAAGAGTTGAAATTTTAACCTACATTCTATTAGATGGCATGGAGTCCAAAGGGAGAGACAGCAAATGTAAACACACACACACACACACACACACACACATATGAAAAGGGCCCAGTTTAAAAAGAGGAGATATAAATGAAACATGAAAAATTATGAGTTAAGTTCAATTTTAGTAAAGTCTGCAGGCAGGAACTTCTTCTATCAAATTTGGGCTCTTTCTAAAAAACAATAATTTAAGCTTATTCCGCCTTTGACAGTAGAAGTAGGGAAGTCCTTTACTTCTGTGGTACTGTCTATTTAATCCAGCAAATCTCTGTTAGGGCTCTAGAGCAATTTTTTTGCAGATTGATTTCCATAATCCCTGTAGAAAAGACATTTATATTTTAAATGAATTGGTCCATAATCCTTTGAAATTTACAACCTGCAGAGAGAGATTCCATTGCTCTGCATAATACACAGATAAAAGATAGTATTGAATTAGTGCCATACCGCTGTGTGCCTCTGTCCTTTCTCTGCTGGTGCTTTTTAACCATAATCTTCTCCTGCTATTATTCTTATCTGCTGATGGTTCTTGAGGGGGATGTGGATGCATAACTTGCAGATTGGCTGGTACATTTTCATATCAAAGAACAAAAAGCCAGAACAGAAAGTACTATATGGTTTGAAATAACTCAGTAAATATAATTGTAGCTATAATGAGAATGTTCATATCATTGTGACATCATAAAAAGCTGTATCAAAACCACAACTTATTCCTTCTTGGAAAATAGGCACTTGTTCATAGTCCATTATTGGGATCGATTCAGGCTTTCAAAATTACTGAGACATTTTATTCATGTAATATAACCTTATAGAGAGTTACAGGTAATTTGGTTAATTATACATACAACATGCTATATTAAAAATATAAAAAATGAAACGGATTGCTAATATAGAAAAATAATTGCTTCCTTTGCAAGAGGAAGTCAATAAGTATGATTCATTAACAGCTTGGAAGGTAGTTTCCTAAAGAACCCTGGAGAACTGCGATCAAACCTGAAAAAGAACTCTTAAGTGTAATTTAATTGTGTAATCATCATCATAATAATTAACAGCATTCATAGTAGCATCTAATATTTACTGAACGCTTAATTTCTTGGCACAATATGATGTGCTTGACTGGTTTTTCTTATTGAATCCTCACAATGACCCTTTGAGGCAGTCACTCTTCATTACTACTACTAGGCCAGTAGCAATTTTATCCCCATTTTACAGATGAGGAAACTGAGGCCCACAGGGTTTAGGAATTTTGATCAAGGTCTTACAGATGGTGGTAGAGCCAGGACTGAATATCTATGGTCTTTACGTCCTTCTCTCAGTTTTGTACTGTATGAGAAATATAGTCTGTAATAGTGATCACTAATCTCTAAATCAAATAAAATGAACCCAAATGCCTTCCTTTAAACTCTCACAAAAGTCAGACATGCAAGAATGGAAAAACTATAGTGAGTGAAGAGCCTTTGGTACTGGTCTCAATTCTTTCCAATGATTACAAACTGCAAATCATTTTACCTCTCTGTTAGCCATGAACCCTCAATCTACAAAATGGGACAAAAGTCTCTTCTTCACCAACAGGGTTCTCTGTGCATCAACAGGAGGAAATAAAAGCACTTTACAAATGGAAGAGATTAAAAGATAAAAATAAGAAAACTTAAAATGCACATGGAGTTCCCAAAATATAGTTATTATAGAATGCTATGTTATTTCCTCACCAGTCATCATAAAATAAAAACAGGGTACTATGGCAATTCGAAATAATGGAATAAAGAGAATATAAAGAGAATGATAGGTGGGGCGCCTGGGTGGTTCGGTCGGTTAAGCATTCGACTCTTGATCTTAGCTCAGGTCTTGATCGCAGGGTCACGAGTTCAAGCCCCTTGTAACCTACTTAAATAAATAAATAAATAAATAAATAAATAAATAAATAAATAAATAAATAAAGTATTAAAAAAGAGAGAGAGAATGATAGGTTCCAGAAGAGAATATATGTATAAGAATTTGAAACAGATTTCAATATCCACCACCTTTTTCATTTTTAAATGATAATTCTCTGGATGTTAAGATCTAATCAAGAATTTAACTTCAAACTTATCTTCACAAGAGCATTTCTATTCTTCCCTAGCTATTGGCACTTATGCATGATTCTTACCACGAACAGGTATAGTCTGCTTTATTTGGCGAATATTTTCTTTATCTGCTTGCTCCTCAGACTCCGGCATCAGCGAGGCTGACATCTCTGCACTGCTAACACAGTCCTCAGCCACAGACTGTTGGCGTGATCGGTTATTTCTGGACCCAACGGATCTTACTGTCTGTAAGGGACAGGAATTAATCTTCACATTTTACAATATGGGAATTGCATTTATTTCTTGTAGAATTTACAGAGACTAATAATATTTGGACAAAGAAAAAGTGAGAAAAGAAACGAGGAAATGAGAAGTTTAGAAAGTTGGTGGAGAGGGGAATTATAGCAGAAAATTAGAAAGAAATGGAAGAAGAAATATAATGTGAGACAAAATAGAAGACAAACAAGTCTTCTAGACACATAAATTAAAATGTGCTTATACTCCATCTTTAGTAGGTAGGAGTTGAACTGAAAATCGCTGCGTGTGTCAGAAATTCAGAGGAAATTAAAAATAAAAATATAACATTTGAGAATCTGTTCATCCTAAGGTATCTGGTGAAGGTCCAACTCCTTTTTGAAGGAGACTGCAAAATGTGTTCATATATATTTGCCTTTAAGTTTTGTGAACATATTTAATCAAAAGAATACTCAGAAATGGTAATTGTGTTGACATGACAAAAATAAAACAGTTTTGAGGTCTTTTAAAATCCAGAATTTCTGTTCCAAATTTATTCAAGCCTTATGCTTTTGGCATGTAGTCTCCCTCCCTCTTTCCCCCGCCACCACCCATGCACTGGGAAAGATCCCTTCTCTTCCCATGCCCCTCATGCTTAGACAAGCTCTTCAGACCTTGCTCCTACCTCACTGGATATCCTCATGTTATTCCTTCTGCCAGAGAGTGGAGGTGGTCCCAGAACTCTGGATCCGAAAGCGATATGACAAACATCTTGATTTTTACTGTTCCGCACACTACCTGTTCCCCTGTTAATGAACTGATCTGTTTTGTTCAAAGAAGGTAATAATAGTCCATTAATGGGCATAATGACAAACACCATGTTGCAGTGCTTCTGAAAGTACAATCCAGGTGTCATTTGATCTGAATCCCCCTTCCCCACTACAGGTCGCTTATAAAAAATGCAGATACTGGAGCCCAACATCAGATCTACGAGATCTATAGAATTAGAATCTTGGGGAGGAGCAGCAGAAATCTATAATTTTAACGAGTTCCCCCAAATGGTTCTTATGCTCACTGTCATTTGAGAACCACTGCCATAAATATTCTTCCTCAAAGAGAGAGAGAGAGAGAGAGAAAAGAAAAGAAAGAAAGCTACTAAAAAATACATCTTATTTTCTCTTTAAGGAAATAATTTAAATAAATCTGTTTAACTCAATTGAACAAATATTTGATTGAGCACTCTTGAGCTTTTCCTAGAAGTTGTCAGTGATACAAAATAACTAAGATATATCGCTTGCCCTCAAGGGAGGTGAGAGTACAAGTAAACAGGTAACCATAGCATAAAGCAACTCAGTGGAAATGAAGAAAAGTGACCTCTTGCTCCTCAAAAAATTTAAAATAGAATTACCCTACAATGCAGTAATCACAGTATTGGGTATTTACCCCCCAAATACAAAAACACTAATTTGAAGGCATTCTTGTACCTCTATGTTTATTGCAGTATTATTTACAATAGCCAAACTATGGAAGCAGCCCAAGTGTTCAGTGATAGATGAACAGATAAAGAAGATGTGGTACATATATACAATGGAATATTATTTAGCCATAAAAAGAATGAAGTCTTGCCATTTGCAAAGACATGGATGGAGCCAGAGAGTATAATGTGAAGCGAAACAAGTCAGTCAGAGAAAGACAAATACTGTATGATCTAACTCATATGTAGAATTTAAGAAGCAAGACAAATGAGCAAAGGGGAAAAAAAAAGAGAGAGAGGGACAACCATGAAACAGACTCTTAACTCTAGAGAACAAACTGTTGGTTAGCAGAGGGGAGGTAGATGGGGGGTAAGGGTGAAATAGGGGATGGGGAGTACACTTATTATGATGGGAAAAAAAGAGTAAGTGACCCCTTGAATGGAGTTTGAATGACTGATAAGATTTCAAGAATAAAAGATGTAGGGTGCCCTAGAGAGAAGAAAGTGAATAAAGACAAAGAAGAGTGAACTGGTAGGGTATGCTTGGGAAGCAATGAAATTACCAGTTTAGGTAGAAGGATGGGTTTGGGTCACACTGAAAAGAGCCTTAAATTGCTAAGAGCCTATTCTAAATTTGGTAGGTGATAGGGTATCATTGAAAATTTTGGGGGAGAAGGAGAACAAACTGATAGGACCTCCAGGATAAGGCAGGTGTGCTGACCAAACCTTGCTGCCTTTCCCTTCTGGGCACACAGCGATATTACATTTCTAAGCCTTCCCTGTAGTTATATGGGTCATGTGACTGACTTCTGGTTAATGAGACGTGAGAAGTGAAATGTGAGACGTGTAAACTACTTCTTGGCCCCTAAAACCTCCTGCATAATTCCCCCATACTCTCTCTTCCCTCATCTTGACAAGACGCAGAAGATCCAGGGGAGAGCTGTAAGGCCTGGAGAAGAACCGCTAGGTGAAAGGAGTCTGGGTCTCTGAATGACCTCATGGAAGGCTGCCCAAGGAACTCCTGATCGGACGAGGCTGTGGGGCTCTTTTTGACTGCAGGTGAGGGTGATGGACCTTAACTCAAAAAACTGCCTGCAACCTAGAAAACCTTCTGCTATGCCCACTTGCAAGACAGGACCAACCTGAATATTATGATGTTGGCTCCAAGTAAGTCCACATTTGTCCTACAGTCATGGATATATATGAGCTACTGGCTACTTCCTGTCTGACCTATTCTCCAGAAAAAATTCTTATAGTTAGGTAGGTGGTTTCTTTAGCCTCTGCTGCAGAGCTGTAACTTTACATGTGGAGTTAAAAACCACTCTTCTGCAATGGCATGAAAAAAGGCACCAAAGTTTGTGAAAACACGCCATGCTTAGAAAGCTCTACTTGTTTAGATCTGAGTAGAATATGTGTGGGTAAATGGGTGTTTTCTGGGTCTGGTTTTATGTTTGCAGTAGATGAAGCTGAAGAGATGGGCAAGGGCCAGACTGTTGACATGTCCTGAAAGAATGTTTGCTGGACAGAAAATCTAAGGTGGTTGGCTGGCAAAGTGGTGAAGAGATACACCATTCCAGTTTTCTTCAAATTCTTGAAGCCCTGTTAGGTAGAAGAGAGTTTCCATTTGTCCAAAGGGCAGAATCAGAACTAATGAGAAGAACTGACTTCAAGGTTTTAGTCCAACATGAGGAACATCTTTCTTTAAGTATGTCTGGTCACTGTGGTGGAGAATTTTCTGTCATTCTGGCTCTTATTAAGCAGATTCAGATACCAGAGGACTCCCTGCTTTCTATTTCTGGCCTAGTCCTCTCTTCTGAGTTCCACACCTTGCATCCAGTGGCTTTCTTGCTCAGTTCCTCTTCCATGTCTTAAAGACACTTCAAATGGAGAATGTAGTCCAGCGAATGGCACCACAATCCACAGGGTTTGAAGAGTTAGGATCTGGTTGTCATCCCTGACTCCTCTCTCCACCTTCTCCACAGCCAACCCAAGTCTACTTCTCTCTACCTCCTCGGTCAGCACTGCAGTCCAGTGACCGTCATCCTTCTCCTGGATAATCATAGAGCCTCTCAAGGGATCTCCCATGTCCACACTGGCTCCCTGTCCCATGCCCTCTCCAAATTGTAGCCAGAGCAGTCTTACGCAAGCATATACCTGATCAAGTCATTTCTTTTCCTCACTTAAAACTTTTCAATGTCTTCCCTGCTGCAGTTAGGATTAGGAAGAAAGACCTTAACAGTGGCTGCAAAAACCTACATGTTCTGACTTCAGTTCATACCTTTCACCCCTCATTTTCTGCTCTCTCCACAGACTGGCCTCCTCAGTTCTTCCTGCCTACCAGAGCATTTGTGTGTGCTCTTCCCCATGCCTAGAAGGCTCTTCCAGTGTAGGTACTCCCATAACCTTTCCTTCCCATAACTTGTCAAATTGCACTTAAAATTTTTTTTAAAAATTCAGTTTAGTTAACATAGTGTATTATTGGTTTCAGGGATAGAATTTAGTGATTCATCAGTATATATAATATATATAACATAACATAACACCCAGTGCTCATTACATCAAGTGCCCTCCTTAATGCCCAACACCCAGTTACCCCATCCCCTCCCAACCCCCCTCCAGCAACCCTCAGTTTATTTCCTAGAGTTAAGAGTCTTTTCTGGTTTGCCTCCCTCTCTGTTTTTATCTTATTTTTCCTTCCCTTCCCCTATGTTCATCTGTTTTGTCTCTTAAATTCCACATATGAGTGAAATCATATGGTATTTGTCTTTGACTGACTTATTTCCCTTAGCATAATACCCTCTAGTTCCATCCACCTCATTGCAAATGGCAAGATTTCATTCTTTAAAAATTGTACTTTTACGTGTGTTTGTGAGATTCGCTGATAATGTGTGCTTCAGTAGATATAAACTCAGTAGCCTAGTTTGTCACCCCTGAATTGCTAGCCTGGTGCCTGACATGGAATTATAGATCCTTGCTGAGCAAAATGAATGAATCATTAAATGTAATGAGTCAAATGGGATGTTGGATTAAATGACTAAATATTTCTAACTATGGCTAGAATTTCATTTTTCATTTTAAGAAAATTCCAACTGCAGGTTTTATGTGTGAATTGAGGAAGACTGGGCAGGACCGGACAACTGCCAGGATATGGGGGACGAGAAAGAAGGGTCAACAATGACCAAGACATTGATAATTACATGAGTGGTGTGGCTTTCAACATGAGTAGTGCTATGGCACCCCAATCAGATACCTACTCAGGTTACATGTGAAATGTTCTAGTGTTAGCACATAGACTTGGCTGTCTGTGCATTTGTATTTTTTTTAGTCATTATAAATATCCATTTGGAGTTAACAAAACACTGTTAGTCTCTCAGGATCAATAACAGAAAGAAATGACACTCAAATCCCAGGCCAATTGGAAAAATTTATATAGAATCTGTCATCATTTGTACCATTTGTGACCAAGTAGAACAAATCCTAGACTATTGATTTTGTTCTCAAATGTGGATTTTCCCAGAAAGAAAGAGCCACTGAAGGTCCTGAAGGGTATGGGATATGGCTTGGGTCTACATGGGAATTTTTAGTACAGAATTTTAGTACAGAATAGGAACTTTTTTTTTTTACTTCCAGTCATGGGAACCATTAGGCTATGGGCATATTTTTTTGCATATCTTTCTGTTCAAACATCTTATGGGGCAATTTCCTCAATGTTTTTTCATATTCTTTATAGTTTCCCCCAACTAATTTAAGCTCCTTTAAGTAGAAAGACCATTTATTTGGTAGTGTATGTACCTCCATCTGTGGAGCCCAGCACAGTACATGGCAGACAATGGATAAAGTTCACCACAATTGTTAAATAGTATTTAAGATTAAAAGGAAGATTTTTTAGGGGAGAGAATATTTCAAAAAATCATACTGACATAGCTCTAGCTATAATTCCAACAAAATGTACAGATTAACTAGTTCGTAGCTATTTAAAAAATTAAAATTCCTAAATACCTTGAATTTTTTAGAGGAATCTCTTACTTAGCAGTGGATGTCCAGTGACCATTCAAGATACACATAAACCTCATATAATATAGTCTTCTAAATCACAGAAAATTAGATATGATTCTGTATTTTATAAGAGGATCTACTATAGGATTTCTTTAAAGAGTAATCTACCACTCTGTATTTAAAGTTAAGTCTATTTTTTAAAATTCACAAATGCTAGTACACTTTTTTCACAAACCAAAGTATACTAATACTCAACCATTAAGTATCTCTTTAATTAAAAGACTTCTTTAAACTTCTTGGTACAATTAACACATACACATTCTTAAAGGCGGTTTCATTTTAGTAATTCTGT